TTTTTTTTTTTTTTTTTTTTTTTTAATATGCATTGTCATTCAGAAATCCTCATTGTCCATCTGTTGTCTCATTCTTGCCAGATGACCAGCCAAACATTTCTTCCGGGTGTACACTGTCTTGATAATATGGCTTACCAACGATGCCAGGAATATTCTTGGAAGTATTGCTTGCACCAATATGAAGTTGCTAAACTTCACTGGAAATGCATTATAATTTTCTGACACCCATTATGCGTCTTTTATTGGCTGGTTGGATCGTCGCTAATTCTTTTCCTTAGCAGTACTTTGTTACGGCTGGCTTGAACTGACTTGAGCATTCGTCAGATTCTGAATTATTCATTATTCTTACAAACTTATGCATGAAACTGTAGCGTTTTTATAAGTTTATTATTGATTAAAAAGTAGAAGGGATTGAATAGGACGGCGTTTATCGCCGCCACAATTCTCAGAAAACATGTCATCACTAAAGTGTATCCTCGGCTTCGCCGACAACGGCCTATGCTGTGCTGAAGTTCGGTAGTTAACTTAATACACCTTATTTCAACTCCATATCAGTAGCTGTTTAGCAGATTTCTTGTAACATGATTACTTTGCATGGCTGACATATCTCTTACCCACATTTTTTACCCACTTTAATATTTCCTTAACATCCTTGTCCTCGTTTTCCTTTCATATTTCCTCTTTAACCCTAAATATTTCGCTGAAATTAGAAAATGAGTTAATTAAAAAACTAATGTTATTTACCTCATCAGGCCCCTCCATTCTAAATCCATCAGTTACTTGTGTGGATAGTTATGCCGCTCAAGTTTTTTATGTACATGTTGGCTCAAAAAAATTGAATTTTTTGCATCACTGAACAAAATTTACAAGAATAGTGTTTCTTTTTTTTTTTTCAGTTTATTGCTTTTCAACGTTTGCTCAATTCGCAGCAGCAGAGCGGTGATGTTTCGCTGGGATTTATGCTTCTTCCCGCGAATAATCGTGAAGTAAGTTGCTTATTTTACTCGAGCAGAGGGTATTTCCTCCTCAGAAATCTTTTAGATCTTTCGATAAATATCGTGATTATGTTTATGACATTTTTTAAATTCAGATCCAGCTGATCGCCCAGTATGGTGTATGTGTAAATAACAATTTTGTTGGTGATCTTGGCGATCCTGCTCATGGTTCGTTCTTGATAAATCTGTTTGTTCAGTCACTAAGCACTGCATATGTGCCATTTCGTTTCGTTAACCTAAAATGAGCATGTTTAGGAAAGGCAACAAAAAAAGGGAAAATTAACACCACAAAATATTTTGATTTTTTGCATAGCATGTGGAAGCTATAAGACAAAATAATGCTTTTTTTGCAGTACTTTTTTTCATGTTTTGGTTCATTTAATACGAAACGAAATGCTTTTTTTTGCATATTTTAAGCTTCAGAAATGTCGCTACCTTAACTGTAGGTGGAAAAATCTCCTTGTCGCTATTAACTTCCGTTTATGTTCAGCTCTTTTTCCTTTTTTGCGACTGATTCAACAGCTTTTGAGCAAAAACTGTTGAAATGTTACCCTTTTTTACCAAAGAATTTTGAGTTGCGCCCCCTTTCCCTCCCCCTAACTCTCCCCCTCCCCCCTTTTCCCCCAGTAGCACTCCGTTTAAAAGCGGGCTTCTGGCGATTGCGGTTTCCTGACGTTCGCCAGTGAATCATAGAGGGATTGGTTGTGCCACTGAATGAGTCAGAGATCCTGGACTGGCTGAGCTTGCAAATGTATCACGTTAGACAGTCCATATTATTGATGGCAGGTAGTCATTTTTTAGTAATTCCCCCGGTAGATCATGACAGTTGAGAGCAAATTTATACATGTGATCCCGGAGTTTGCTATTGAAATGGATTTGCAGGTGTTTATCTGTCGCAGTACCCTGATCTGGTCACTGCTGCTCCGTTTCTGGACCTGAAAACCAAAGTGTTGATTTTGGTTTGCAAGGTAAGTCTCCTTTTTTCCGTGCTAGTTTTAATTAAGATTGTTATTACTTGCCAGTTTCTTTGTACAGTTTGTGTTGTGCTACTTGCTTCCCTGCTTGCTTCCTTGCTTCCCTTGTATTTCCTCGTCGGACTAAAGATACCACTTATCACTTGCCCTGCACCCGTCTTACTATCAGCAAATCAAACCGCGCATTGTACTTGGTCATTTTTTGCCTATATACATTCACTACGGCCTATACACATTCACTTTTTGCCTGTACACATTGTGCTTTTTTACAAGGCATTTAGTTCTCTCTGCATTTGCAAGAGTTTAGGAACTCGAGCCAAAGGCGAAAAATTGCCCTATAAAATCCAAAAAACTCCAGAGAAAGTTCTATTGCTTGTCAGGATCGTCAGTGTTCTGGCCGCAAAGCAATGCAGCACTGGTCAAAAAAGCAAAAGAACTGCTAGTTACATAGCTGATGAGCCGAATTTGTTATTAGTTTATTCAGATTGCGAGAAGCTACTTTAGTCCTTTCTTCCTTTCCCCCCTTCTCTGCACCCCATCTTCTACACAACCAGAGCGTTGTTCCTCCACTACCATGATTGCCCGTGTTTGGCATTTTTGCTTCATTACTTCCAGAATATGTAGAGAAGTTGTGTTTTTTACAGTTGATTTTGTTGCTGCC